CCGGATATTCGTCATCGTTGTTCGAAAGGAAAGAAAACTAGACCAGGCTCAGTCCTATCGTCATCACCATAAGCAGTTGGTACACCTTTGCCTTGAAACAATACTTGAAAAGCAATACTGAATGATATAAGAGACAAAAGGATAAACAACCCAAACCGAAGCAAGTCGCCGAAAATTACTTTTTGTATCATGCCATCGTAGAAACTTATCGGTTCAAAGGCGCGTAAAAAGAAAATGCTAAACCACCAGCCAGAGAAAAAAGAAGCAAGAAGCAAATACACACCATGTTCCAGATAGAAGTAATGCCATAAACTATTCCCAAAAAGCCGATTGAAAACAAGGACAGCAGAACGATGTATTCAAGATCGTGTGTTTTGAATTTACAAGAATTTGGGCGTATGCATCTTGCTGTCAAAAGAAGTAGTGTTATGATAAGATAAAGTCCACCGATAATACCGAACAAGATGGAGCTGACAAACACAAATGTTTTCTGGATTTCTATGGTAGCAGGGTGGGTTGAGTTTGATGGAAAAGCCACGAAGGCCCATTGTACTGCGAATCCGCTATATAATATCACTATCAGAAAGTGAGCAATCGCCCATGCGTAGAAAAGGCCCTTTCACGCTTTCCATTTAAGGCCAATCAGCATCTTCCTAGGAGGTTGTCTTATCCTTTCGAAGGCAGAGGTCTTGTTTTTGGCGAATCTTATATTGCACATCATCTGCACTACGCTCGGACTGTACTGATGAGACCAAGCTATAATTAGAACAACAATTTCTCATTAACGATGTCTTAATATGATCACCCAGTAGTTAACTGTGGTCTATACATTTATGGATGGTTACTTTAGAATAACAAGTCTTACATACGATCGAACAGGTATGCTTCCTTAATAAGTAATTATAGAACTAGCTTATATATGGCATTTATATACGGAGACTTTAAAATCAAAATGACATTTTTCTTATTTGTTTAAAAGGAAGGAAGTGGAGTTGCTAACAGTTGAGATTTGTACTGCCGGCCCGAGACGCAATACCAGTTGAAAGTTTGCTGCTGATGAACGTATTGGAACTACTTTCACGAAAAGTGTCAATCACCTTACGCAGTCGAGGCTGTATTATTAAATTTCTAGAATTACAATTTAAATTGAATCAACGCATTTCAAGAGCAGCTTGAATGCAATTTATTCGTCAGAGCTGAAACAATTAAAACCTGTATTTCTGTTATGTTGACTATTTGACGTAAATGTAGAGGTAAAAGTATAAAACAACAAAACTCTGTGACAAACATGATGTTTTAGATTTTGCGTAGTTGATTTATTTATCTTATAGTAGTCACTTACTAGTCGCCAAAGGTAATGGTGTTTGCATATAACAGCTAAAATGCTGTTTAGATCCTGGACTCAGCGTCCTCCTAGATATAAGCATGATGTTGAGAATTTATCCCTTAGCAAGGTTTTTCTTCCGAAATCAGCATTGCCTGGTTCCCAGCTATAATATTCAGTGTGTTTCATGATAACAAAATTGGTCACTGTGTCTCAGAGCATTAGGCAAAACTATCTTGACCTCTTGCATTTTGTAGGTGTTCATGATAAGTTTCCTGTCTTATTCTGACAGATACTGTGAAAATGCCTGGCAATTCCCGTATCATAACGATAAGAGAAAATGTAGCGCCTATTCGCCGGACTACAGGAGTGTATTCATCATGCGTTATAATCAGATTCTCTCATCATAACCTTGGACTATCATTTTAATACACAGGGGGTGAAAAGGGTAAACTTACCTGTCAGCTAATCTATTAAATGGCAATCATTGTGTCTGGCTTGTGTATTAATCTGAAGTGTTTGTGATTCATGAATAATCTATTTAAAATAACTGCATACCATAGTTGAAGTATCATGTTTATATATAACATATTGTCTGGTGTCAATTCGAAATGTATTATTGACAGAGTTATCTTAAATCTAAAAAAAACCAAAACAATTACTCAACAGCAATACGAGGGGTATAAGTTTCAATCATTTGCATAACCAAGTCAGTGGTTGTAACTGAAACGTTATCCAAATATAGCTGTACACACGGAAAGCTCTGTTATGGAAGAACATGTTTTGTAATTAGGTTTTAAAGGATATTTCGTTGAAAGTTAAAACGTACTTCAGACAGCTTTACCACTGTTTACACACTAGATATCAGAATGATCTGAAATAGAGGTTCCCCAGCGAGTGAGGGTTAGTCTCCAAGTTTATTTTACTCAAATTGTTTAATGACACGATGTTTACAATTTGAAAATTGAAAAAGGAACCGGCACAATTATAAAGCTATTGAATGTTAGGTTTTACTCGATATAATTTACTGTTACACTACATATCATGATTCCTAGAAATAAACCCGGTTTCAAAAATACTCAGTCCTGCAGCTTACAAGTATTTACCTGGTCGAAGTTCTTGGGCTCGACACAAAAAAAAACGTTTCCAGTCAATCTGTCAATGGTGACGAAATGCTTCTAGTTTTACTTCTATGTTAAGTGTCAATCTGGAATATCCCACCACGGGTATGGTACGGTCTTTAAATCAGTTATTACAACACATATTAAAAGGGACAAAATCGTTAAATAACATCTGTTGTGAGATTTACTGATTAAAGTTAGATACACAGTCTCTACACTTAAAAAACTACAAGTTTCTTACTCGATTAACATTAAGGGTGACCATACCACAATGTATTGAGGTTAGCTTTCCATGATCGACACTTTGCCTGCGTTGCGTGTAATTTTCGTTATAGACCGATTCCGGCGTCAACCTCATCGTTTGCTTGCGTAGGCTTCCTTTACTTGTTGTCTTTCTGTCTCTAAAGGTTAGTATATGTTCGCTTATAACTGCGGACTGATGTCAGTTTTATTTGACTCGGGTAAACCTGAGAGTTAATTACACTTTCTCAAGTATACGTGGTTCGCTTCGTTAACCTGGTTAATGTCGATCTCAATCCAACATATCTCTGCAAAATGTAGCTATGCCAACTAAGACATTTGCATTGCGTTTTCGGTTTCCAGTCTCAGGACCGTTATACCAACAAGCATGATAATACATATTGCAGAGTGTTTTTATCCAACCATGAATGCGTACTTGTCCTCCGACTCACTGACCTGGTATACTGTTTAAACGATTTCCAAATATCCTATTCAGTGATTTTTTTCATCATCTCGTAATCTTCATATAACTGGTCAATTATTATCACTAGCGAAAATCTTTCATTTTGGACCAGAGTTGACATAAGGGGCAACTTTAAAGTATTTCTGGGGCTTAAACACACTACAAAGTAACACATGTTAAGTCAGTTGTGTTATGAAACAACGAAGGTGTCTATGATACAGCGAAGGTGTCTATGATACAGCGAAGGTTTCTATTATACAGCGAAGATGTCTGTGATACAGCGGAGGTGTCTGGTACAGCGGAGATGTCTATGATACAGCGAAGGTGTCTATGATACAGCGACGATGATACAGTGGGGGTGTCTATGATACAGCGAAGGTGTCTATGATATAGTGGAGGTGTCTATGATACAGCGAAGGTGCCTATGATACAGCGAAGGTGTCTGTGATACAGCGAAGGTGTCTGTGATACAGTGGGCGTGTCTGTGGTACAGCGGAGGTGTCTATGATACAGCAAAGGTGCCTAGGATAAAGCGAAGGTGTCTGTGATAAATTAAGGTGATATAACAAAATCTGTCTATTTGCACTAAAACAAACTCCTCGTCCTCCTCCCCCTTCTTGAAAACTGGCATGCGCTTATACTATCTGACATTCGTTTACAATGACAGCAAAATATTATGGTTGGAAAATGTGTATTTTTGACCTAATTTAGATAAATGCAAGCTTGTGTTGCAGAGATTCAACAGTAAAGAAAATACACTTTCCCGGTATTTAGTTTCAATAATATTTTGATAGTTGATAGTAAGATAATCAAAATAAATTTTGATAAAATATTGAAATGAGACACTCTGTCGAACTTTGAAATAACATACCTTAGCAATTTCAGCTGAAAAATTATGAAAATCTGGTCATTTTGTTATCACTGTCAACTTAACTATATTACCGACAACTTCAAATTTTGTATTATTTTAACTGCTAGCATGTCTGTAATCAATATAAGCATTTTTCATGGAATAAAATACAGTAAGAGAAATGTTATGGAGCTTCGAAAGGAAGAACATGCATTCATTTGACAAAATACATGTCAGGCCCTGTGGGGCTTTTCTTGTTGCATGATTTCGAATAAAAGTTATTGTTTCTGTTCAGCTATGGTATGATTAAAGTACTTGTACAGTTTCATGAAAATCCGAGCGTGGGCACGGTCTATTGGAATTTTAACATAGGCAAGAACCCTACCTTTGTTAAGATCTTACCATGTCTATGGAAAATAATATTTTATACCTTAATGCTACATAATAAAAGGAAAACAACGACTAAAAAACTATGAAAGGAGAGAGTGACATGTATGTCTTGTCTCTAATACACAATGTTAGGTAAGCTAAAGGCAACTTATTGATAATGATTTATGTATGTGACAGAAAGTAATCATTTATAATTCGATCCAATATACATGTAAAACTGAAGAAAATAGCAAAGTTTATTACGGAAAATAATAAAAGAGACTTAGAATATGGCATTTCGGTTTTGTAATAAAAGATGTAAAAACGAACCAACTTGCACGTACCAAACATACCATGTAAACAAGAGCATTAACAGTAGGAATCGAGTGGTGGGACAGTGCATTGACAATTGCACTGCGGGTAATCCGGTTTCATCCAACATTAAGAGTCGCGCGCTAACCTCCTTACCAACAAGAGTGATTAATATCAGATGGCATAACCTTTATCATAAATGTTGTATAATAGAAATAATATATATTTAACAGTAGGTAGATGGCAGAAAAAGGTATATTAATGCTAGTTCTCTGTACAATATAAAAGATAACAGTGACCGCTAGGATATAGACATTCCATACATATTTATTTGTCACAAGGATATACATAAACTAATTAAGTTACTGTTACGACAAGTTAATGAAATTACGCAACCGATATCCTAACAATATACATACTCTTAGCCTTTTATAAAAGTAACATACTTGTCTGGAAATCTATCTTACACAATCAAACAAAGACACGGAACATGTATCCCTGGGGTTACCTGGCAGGTGACCATCGCTCAATTATGTTAGAAGTTGCGTCCCCTGTTGTGTAAAGAGTATTTTATTCAGTAATGATATTAATACAATGTTTTGAATAGTCCCTACAGAAACTACTACATGTTAATTGTTTCCAATAAATATATTTCAGAACTTTATAATCAATATTGAACAAATATCGATAATTACAAGCACTTTCCTCCATTTCTGAACTGTTTTCCCGCCTGAATCGAACGGCTGATAATGGCAATTGTAGCATTGCCAATTTAACTAACTAAGGCACATCTCCCAGTTAACTGCCTCTTTAGATCTTTCTCACAACCACTTAATGATAAAGTCATTTTGAGCTGAATGTAACAATTCGATAGTGATAATTGAAAATCTAATTCTACAACTCCTTAGAACATTGTTCGTTTAGCTATCACGCAAGCCGTCCTGTATAATATAGGGCAAAACGTGGTCCTCTGCTTTAGGATATCGCAAAGCGTCCTAAAATATTCATCGAGTAGTCTGCCCTTGTCTGCCTCGGTTCGGTCTGGGGACAGTCCTGACATGAGAATATTGTACATCCATGGTTTTATACAGTTTAGGGATCTGTCCACAAACGTCTCTTTGTCCTCGATATCTACATGGTCAATTAGAAAACAAACGATCACTTACAATATTGCAAAAATATAAAAAGAGTCTGCACATTTTGGGGGAAATGTTTCCAAATGTTCTCGTGAATGAGTTGATTTGAATCCAATTCATTTATGTTCAATCATGTTTGTATTATGTATTACATATGTTATGTGAATAAAACAAAGTTTAAACTAATGAGTTGATTTGAATTAGATATTCAAAATGATGTGGCTTGATTCGAAACAATATTTTGACATCTATATACATGTATGTCTATATGAGCTTAAGAAGAAACACATTTTAAAATTCCAAAAAAGTTGCTTTTGGAACAAATCCCCGATCTAGCTTATGTCGTAACGAAACAAGAAAACACACAATGGAAGTATTTTGCCGAAACTTACAAAAGGTACATCGTTTCTGTGTGACATCACTGCATAGGTGACTTAACCACGTCTGTTTCAATTTGTATTGACCTTACCTGCGTCGTTTGCTAGACCAGGGATTATTTCGACATCACTCTGCGTACAAGAAACTAGCGACAGACTTCCTTCAATGTCGGCTTGGAATGGCTGCATGAGCTCGGTCTTAGAGGGATGGTACGTCATCGACGAGGTGTGGATAAATTCTTCCTAAACACACCATTTTGAATAAGTTTAATAAGTTAATTCGGTATGTTATTAGCTGTGTAAAAAATATTCTAGTATTACGCATTGATTCGCAAAGTTCATTTCACTGGAAAAATTACGGTCAGTATCTCCAATATATGTTTAAGTATACTGTAATTAGTTGTTTTTTAAATTTAGGCTCGAAAATATCAATTAATTATATGTTGTGTCTTAAACACAATAGGTCATCGACAGCTTGGATCAAATTACACTAATGGCTGTAATATATTTTCCATAAAAATAGTTGTGAAGAAAATGTCTCTAAAAACCATCTCAACAATTTAATTAAATACCGTAGCTATCATGTACATTTAACAAGAGGCCCATGCGCCTTAACGGTCACCTGATATATTTAAACAGAGAGTTGATTTTGTTTTTAACACGAACAGAAATATTATTCAAAGTGACAAAAAACAATAAAACCACCTTATTCAATATCTAGCATACAGATTTAATAAAGTCTAAAAAGTATTTGAAACTAGCACCTCTGATTCTAAATAGGGAAAATGAAGAAATTTTAGCACACTGATTCCTTTGGGCCCCACCATACAGCCCTTGGGGTAGGGCTGGCTCAAAAGTATCAAACTGTCAACTCAGGGTTATAATTAAAAATCAAGTTATTAACATGTAATATTCAAAGTATCATTTGCCATTATAAACCATAATAAATTTTGCCCCCCCCCCTCCTTCCCCAGGGGGGAAACGCGAGACCCTAGGGTCATAAACCTTAAGACCCTTCCATCTATAAAGAGTGTTTGATTCTACCATATCTTGGTCTTAAGCAGAAGATTTTTGAAATTTCAGTCAATTCGACCCTTTTTTCCAATGGAAATTAAACAACTGTTGGTCCAAAATGTGATCTCCCTATATAAACTATAGTAAAGTTTACCCCCTCCCCAGGGGGTAAACGTAAGACCCCAGGGTCATGAAAGTCACAATTTCGGTAAAGCACCTTAAGACCCTTCCATCTATGAAGAGTGTTTGATTCTACCATATCTTGGTCTTAAGCAGAAGATTTTTGAAATTTCAGTCAATTCGACCCTTTTTTCCAATGGAAATTAAACAACTGTTGGTCCAAAATGTGATTTCCCTATATAAACTATAGTAAAGTTTACCCCCTCCCCAGGGGGAAACGTGAGACCCCAGGGTCAAGTGATTCACAGTTTTGGTAAAGCACATTAAGACCCTTCCATATATGAAGAGTATTTGATTCTACCGTATCTTGGTCTTGAGAAGAAGATTTTTGAATTTTAGTCAATTTGATTCTTTTTGGCCACGCCCCTCAGGCCCCTGGGGGCTGGGGGCTGGGGGCTGGGGACCAAACCGGCCACTACTTTTGTTGACCTTTGGCCATAGAAGGTTTCTGCAAAATTTCATTGAAATTGGTTCAGGGGTGTTGGAGAAGAAGTCAAAAATGTAAATTGTTTACGGACACACGACGGACGACGGACGACGCCGGACAAAAGGCGATCGCAATAGGTCACTTGAGACTTTGTCTCAGGTGACCTAAAAATGTTAAAGCGAGCAGCAGAACTGACATTTTCCCTACTTTATCTTCAGAAAGTATATTTATCAGTTCATTCAATGAAGTTATGTTTATCTAACTCAAGTTAGTTAATACGGAGTGTCTTTTGAATTTAGATATTAACTAACGAAATTTAGATTGACATGATACCCAACCATCAGGAGATAGGGAACCTTTCAATGATTATGTTTAAAGGTATAAAATATATAAAAACCACTTGATTGAGAGGGATATAATTAGAGCAAAAAATCGACAAAACAACAACAGGAATATAACAGACACCGAAGGTTAACAAAAGACACTTTAAATAAAACCAAAAAGGACGTGACATTAGTTCTCTAGAATAGTGTTTCCCGGACCACATATGGTAACACATCACATCTACCACTAAATTTCAGAAAGAAAATCAAAATACATTGGAGAACGTATGAGAACTACCTCACTGATTTTTCCACTTTGCCGAAATCCTTTCCAGATACTAGAGAACACATCATACGAGTCCTCTCCCACGTGATTGTTACACCGTCCACTGTCATCAGTGACGAAGGAAACCACCACCAAGTATCCTCCTACAAAACAACAGAAGCCATAACACAATACGCAACCATAACTGAGGTAAGTTGTAGAGACAGCATCTAACGAAAATACCACCCTTGGTTGATCAATACAGTCCGGTTTTAATTCTACCTTGATGACTATCTGCTTTTTTAAATTGAAATTCACTGCTAAATAAGTTGGCGATTTTTATTGAACAATTGTTGAGATTCATCATGAGACTCGGAAGTGTGATGGCACTGATGTTACATACACAATTTATACAGACCCATACACATTTACTGTTCTATTTGAACAAAGCATTTGCATCTAACCTGCAACAGAGAAGGTATATGAGTTCGTATACTAGTGTTTTAATAATGTTTAATTATATTGATAGCTTAAATCAACTTTAATTGAATGACATTATTCTGATCGTAAATTTAAAAAAAATAGATTTTCCCTTATGAAATGCATTATTTTGAAGAGCAATATTTTCTTAATTCTGTGTATTTTTTCTTTTCTTTTTCTATTCTTTAAGTACCAAGCTATATTTTTAATGACCTTTTTTCTTCATTTTCTAATTTTATTTTCAAACGATCTTTAAAAATGATTTTTTTCTATGTGCAAATAGATCAAACTGGTAAAAGAACAATGACTACGCATTAACATTCAAGCTACTTTATATCGTTCACATACAATACATACAATTGTTGGTTCTAGCAGAACTACGCCAGAGAATGAAGATATTGGGATAAATCTCTATGTCTTTTACATATAACGACTAAAACAGTCTGCCTATCATGATTTTTGCTGTCATTTGAAATGTCTTTTATTGCATTTGCAACGTAATTGAGAGTTGACACTTGTTATAATATTGATTAGGGACATTTCTTTTGTTTTTTAGAAAGGATCGTTGTTTATTGTATCTGTAACACTGCCCTTTCTTAAACGGACATGCACATATTCCAAATTCACCTTCGAAAAAGCGATAACCTTACCACGGCATGCATCGAAAAACATGCAATATATATATACACATATTCAATTACCAAAATACACCCAAGGTCAAACACAAAGTGTCCCAAACGCCAGGAGTAATATCCACACGTACAAACACACTGGAGTCCAAACGCTGTCAAAAACCATAAATATTAAAGGAGACTTTTTAGCATGCAGAAATAATCGCATCTTCCTTGATACTTCAGGGATTACGCTCACGTTTGCTCTCTGTACCCCTGGAATATGTCTTAGCAAAATTGAAGGTAAGCGGCTAGCTATTGGTGTGGTCTCAAGTAAAAACAACTTGACTAATCGCTAGGTTGATGTCTGTCCTTAGAATAGAGGAGCGACAACCAACTGCAAAGCCAGTCAATTTTACCATTACACGACCGATGTACATCACAGGATCAAACTAGTGTTATCGTCTCTCCACAAGGTGGCGCACACTGAGCTTTCGATTATGTTATGGCAAATTCCAGGGGTGTAGAGAGTGAAAGTGAGCGTAGCCCCTTGAGTATCGAGAATGAGGTGATCATTGTGTAGCAGGGATACAATTTAAATCTTTATATAATTGTTATATTAGTGTTGTAGCTATTGTTTGTGTTTGTATCGCGTCTGTTTAACAGAAAGTACCGTGTCCGCGTATTGGATCCCATGTTGTGATCCTTAGCTGTACAGGTACATTTGGTTACTGTACTCGTTACATATGTTTGGTGTTCCGTGGTGTGGTTTTTTATTGGTCATTACGTAAGTTGTATAACTGTTTTGAATACTTGTTTCCTTTGGTCAGTTTGGCGCGTAAGTCTTTGTGTCTCGTGTTTTTGTAAGTAAGTATCTTTTTAGGACTCGAAGTAGACGGACGGACTTTTGAATGTAAGTGTTGTCTTATCGGCGTGATAAAAAAACTTATTTTTGATTTCGTAGTGTAATTAGATTATAGCTATAGAAGTAATAATGATTTATTGTTTATTAAATAAGGTGGAAAGCGCACTTGCCTTTCACCAAGGCGACCGGGGCTCGATTCCCCGATCGGACGTGAAAAGGTATGACATTAATATATTATAAGAAAGGTATGAAATTGATATATGATCAAGTTATAAGAAAGTTTATGTTGGTTGAGCAGGGGTCGGAATCACTGATGAACTCTGAATAGGAGGGAGACATGATCCGACAATCTGCAACATATTACTTTGGCTACGGACTCTGGTTAGACGAGTGGTGATATTGGTCGTCTATCACCAATCGGCTGGTCACGCCGAGCCCTTGGTATACAAACTTCCAAGAAGGCGGTGGCTTTGGGTCAATCGCGAGAGTATGCCCTTACGGGCAATATGTATACTCGTTGTGTATACTTTTACGAGTAAACTACTGTGTGTATCCCTGACAATTTGGCGCTGGATATCCGCGCTGATATTAATGGCTCCTTGTTAGGCTCCAGGGTGGGCGGGGACACAGATAGCGATTTAAGTAAAAACCACATATGGGTAATGAAAAAAACACGGAAAAAACCCTACAACTACCAAATTTCCACAGTTTATCATCATGTTGTCAACCACTAGTGGAAATACAGCAGCAACATTGTCTCATCTTCTGTTTAGGAAGGGTATAAAAGGAATAGCTGGGGACGTAAAGTCCGTCAAACCTTTAGGATCTGGCGATCTTCTAATCGAGGTTTTTCGCAAACAACAGGCGATTAACCTACTGGGTACCACCAGTTTTGGAGGTATCAGCGTTATAGTGAAACCACATCCATCACTGAACAGCAGCAGGGGGTAATCAGATGCCCCGCCCTGCGCAATGACGCTGATGCCGACATACTGGAGTACTTCCAGGAGGAGGAGATCCCAGTACATGAGGTGCGACGGATTTTGTCCAAGAAGAACAGCAAGTTGGTTCCATCCCTAATCCATTGAGATGCCGTAACTGTTAGAGGCATGGGCATCATGAAAAACGATGTAGGCGGAAGACCGTTTGCCAGTATTGTGGTCGTGAAGGTCATGAGGGGCAAAGCGACTGTGATATTGCCAACCTGCGTTGTGTCAACTGTGAGGGAAAGCATGCTGCTTCGTCTCGAGACTGTCCTGCCTGGAATCGCGAGAGAGAGATATTGCGGGTCAGACATGGCTGGCCAACAGAACTTGAAAATTCTCACGACCAAAACAAAAACCGATAAACCCCACAAACAGCCATAATCGACACCACCATAAAAAGTCAATGTTTCAAAAGCACCTTCCTCTTTATATTAGGAGAAAACACCCCAAAACCCATCTAGGGCACATATGCGTTCGCAGCGACCTTGCTCACTTTCCCCTAACAGACCTAAGAAAAAAATTAAAATAGCCAGGGGGAAATCTGATTGGTCCGATCTGAATGTCACCTATGGTAAAGGATCAGAGGACCCGACAAACAGGTTTAATGGCCTAGTGGATCTCGATGATGAGATGGAGACGAATGCCCCAACGCTTCGTGCTTCGACTCCATCGAAATCCAGTCAAAAAAGGAAAAAATGAACAAAACAATTATTCAATGGAACATCCGCGGATTAAAGGCAAGTATAGAAGAATTTCAGAATCCATCAAAAGAATTTTAACCCGCCTTTTTTTTGTCTACAGGAAATCATGCTCAAAAACCCAATCACTCTTAGAAATTTCTCACTTCACAATAACATTCTAACTGTAGGTAGCAGAGCAGCAGGTGGTGCAGCTGTAGCTGTCCATACAAATATTCCGCACAGAATGATCAAGTTAAACACAAATTTACAGGCTGTTGCTGTCTGTGCAACATTACACAGATAAATAACCGTCTGTTCAATTTATCTTCCTCCGAGTATTGTTTTCACTTGTGAACAACTCAATAACATCGTCTCCCAACTCCCAACACCATTCATAATCCTCGGTGATTTTAATGGTCATAATAGTCTGTGGGGCTCTCCAAACACGGACGAGATAGGAAGACGTATTGAGTAATTTATAGATAAAAACAACTTGTGCCTTTTTTAACAACAATACCCCTATCTTTTTACACCCTGCTACAGGCTCTCGTACCCACATTGATCTGTCATTATGTCATCTTCCACTTTACTTGATTATAACTGGAAGGTAAATAATGATCTTTGTGGAAGTGACCAATTACCAATTTTTCTTAAGAATATTAGGACTCCTCTTGATGATCTTCTATCTCTATGGAATTTGCACAAAGCAGATGGGGTCCAATTCCAACACATGTGCAATGAGAAGCTCACCACAGAAAAATGTACTAACCTCGACGACCCAATCAACACTTTTACTGAAACACTCACTTCTATTGCCCAAAAGACAATTCCAAAATCCGCTCCAAAATCTACGATGTTCCTTTTATCAAAAGAATATTTTAAAACACGCAGCAATCAGGCAGTGATTTTAAAATTTGGCGGGCAAAGGCTCGGCGATCAATTAAAATTGACAAAAGAAACAGCTGGAGAGAATATGTATCCAAGGTATCATCAAATATATTCGGAAAATAAGTGGGATAAAGAAAAAGTCAACAACCTCCCACCTTAATAAAAAAACAAATTGTTTTCGTCTAAGTCTGAAATTGCTGATGCATTTGCAAAAAAACATAGCTAAAAACTCATCCCCTTTAAACCACTCCCAAAAATTCCAGTCTGTAAAGAAGAAAAAAAGAAAAAAAAGGGCTAAATTTCAAATAATCAAACAAAGAATTTACAATGAACCATTTACCCTACCGGAACTTGTTGACTCGCTTGGAAAATCACAGCACTCTGCTTCAGATCCAGATGATATTCCATATCAATTTCTCAAACACATACTGGACTCGTCACTAAGATGCCTTCTTTACATATTCAACCAAGTTTACGCTTCCGGAAAGATTCCCGATTTGAAGAACAGTTATACCTATCCCAAAACCGGGAAAGGATGCTACTGACCCAAACAACTATCGTCCTATTTCTCTGCCTAGTTGTGCAAGTAAAACTTTAGAACGAATGATAAACAGGTTTCATTTCTTGAGGCCAACGATATAATATCCCCTCTTCAAAGTGGTTTTAGAAACAGAAGAGGGACAAATGACTATCTCATCAGACTCGAGACATTCATTCGAGAGACTTTCGCCAAGAAGGAATACCTTGTTGCCGTGTTATTTGATCTTGAGAAGGCCTATGATACGCAGTATAGCATCATGAAAGATCTTCACGACCTTGGCGTACGTGGAAACCTCCAAAGTTTTATATCTAATTACTCATCAGATAGGCACTTCAAAGTCCGTGTTGGTTCAACTTTTTTCTGAAACGTCTAAACAGGAAATGGGAGTCCCACAGGGTGGAATCCTATCAGTTACCCTGTTTGGTCTTAAAATCAATGATATAGTCAAATGTCTTGGTCAGTCAACAGAAGGGTCATTATTCGTAGATGACTTCTAGATCTGTTACAGATATAAAAATATGCACACAATAGAACAACAACTTCAACAGAGTTCAAACAAACTACAAAATTGGGCTGACGGAAACGGCTTCAAATACTCTAAATCCAAAACTGTGTGCATGCATTTCTGTCAAAAACGAAAAGCACATAATGACCCAAATCTTACTCTTGATGGCACTACAATTCCTGTTGTTGAACAGACTAAATTGCTCGGCCTCATTTTTTATTGAAACTATCTTTCATATCACATATAAAGTACCTGAAAGATAAGTGTTCCAAGGCGTTAAACATTATACGAGTCCTTTCTCATACTGATTGGGGAGCGGACCGTGAAATGCTTTTGCGCCTATACAGATCACTTATATGGCATACGGGTCGGCGCGCAGTTCTTACCTGCAGATGCTAGACCCAATCCATAACCAAGGGATACGTCTAGCCCTTGGAGCTTTTCGAACAACAACTGTTAAAAGCCTGTACGTGGAAGCGAATGAACCATCCCTTTATGACAGAAGGGAAAAACTGGTATTACAGTTTGCAGCTCAATTAAAATCAAACCCTAAAAATCCTGCTTTCGACCAAGTATTCAACCCAAAATACCAAAACAAATTTACGCAAAACCCAAAACTTCTGCCAACATTTGGTATCCGAATTTCAATTTTCCTGCAAAAACTTAACATAAAGTTGACCGACATAGCTGAATTTACCATATCTGATGTTCCTCCATGGACCATACAAACACCTGATTTTAACTTTACATTACATGAGCGAGGGAAATCCAGTGTAATGCCCGAAAAACACAAATCCTCCTTTCGGGAATGCATTTCGAATTACACTTCTAATACACAACTTTAAACCGATGGTTCCAAAGAAAGTGACAGCAGCCTGCTGTACTGCTAATTCTTACACTTCAGTTCGACTACCAGACGGCGCCTCCATCTTTTCTGCCGAAGCATGCGCCATTGGTTTGGCCCTCGACCATATCTATGAACACCGCATTAAAAAGGCAATCATTTGTTGAGACTCTCTATCTGTCCTACAAAGTTCACAGTTACGAGATCCTAAAAACACACTCGTACAAAAACTTGCTTTTCGAATATCTCGTACCTTAAAAAAAATCTAAAATAACTTTACTTTGGATTCCGAGCCATGTCGGAATTAAAGGCAACGAATTTGTTGACATGGAAGCAAAAAATGCACACAAACAGTTTGTTTGTTGTTTAACTCTCCAACAAACAAATATCAAACAACCATATACAGATTTTAAACGTATTATTCGTACAGCCATTCAAAATGAATGTGACACTACATTTACAGTGGAACATATTTTAATAGAATGTTCCGATTTTTCAAGCCCCGGAAATGAAAACTCTTTTCAGTTCCGTGGACTCGAAGGCATTATTTAACTATTTGAAAGACATCGGTCTATTCTATAGACTCTGATGTCTTTAAACCAACCTTATCCTCTTTGACGTTATATATATGACATAGTCAGTATCATCTATTCGTTATCTCTTTTATTATTTTAACCCCCTTTTTATTTTAATTATCTGCACATACAATGCGAATGCTTTTAAAAAATGAACATTTTTATATGATTTTATCTTCGCCACTCACATGTTTGTTTGAAAAAAAAATCACCATGGCCCTAAATGACCACAGCCATCGATGGGCCGTTAAACACAAACAAACGAACAAGTTTATGTTTAATTTACAGTTGATATAAATGCTGTAGATCTACGATCGACTAATACATTTGTATATATAAAAAGGTGTGCCATACACATGTATGTTATATAGATCTATATCATTAATACATATATTTTACCTCACATTTTCAAAGAGGATTTATGGAATATAATCTGTAATATTTGTTTACTTTAGTATCGGGTCAAATTCCGTATCATAATATATATTGTCAATCTGTTGAAGTTATATCTGTTTAAGCACATGTATAATGGAGCCATGTAACAGATGATTTTAATCAGATTGCTTTAGTCGCCTAACACGATCATACAATCTGAATCGTTTGGTATTACCTGGACGGAGTTCCTTGGCTCGACACGATAGGAACTGTTTCCAGTCAGTCTGCCATTGGTGTCGAAATGCTTCTAGCTCCTTTCTGTCACAGTCACTCTGGAATATCCCGCCTCGGATGGCACAGGGTCTATAAATCAGAAACCATTATTGACGATACATTTCAACAAACTATTTTTTTCTCTTGTTTCCCTTTTTACCGCCAACTGCTGTTTGAATTTATTAAATGAATGTTTTCAGATAAAATCGTTTCCAGTATATTCAAAATCTTGATCAACACGTATTTTACAATTAACCGTTTTAATAAGTTATCTAGTAGAGATCACTGAAGAGAAAGCCAGATCGACGGAACCTGTAGGCAGGCACTTCCGGTACATTGATGTAGCACTAGCTAGCACGTGCACGTTATCGCTTACGGACAATCGATTACGTTTATCAGAATTGGTCGCTGAAAAGAAGAGAGAAAAATACATTAAGCATTTTATTTTAAGTTAAATATTTTGTGAAACAACTTTTTCTTACAAATGAGAAGGGACACATGCATATTGCTTAATTTCACTTTTAAGATTACAACATCGGGAGTCCCTTTTATACGTTTGTTTACTTAAATCGTTATCAGTAAATACTGTTTGGGTCCGTACCTTTAGTAAAAGGTTCTACATACAAACAAGAGTAATAAGAGTAGTGGGAATGAAGTGTGGACTACATTTTTGAATAATGAAATTTCTTTTGATATACTTTAAATGTTATAATTCTGAACAAAGAAATGATATACTTTAAATTTTATAATTCTGAACAAAGAAATGATATACTTTAAAATGTATAATTCTGCACAAAGAAATAATATACTTTAAATTTTATAATTCCGCACATAAAAAAACAAAGATTAAAGCAAAGCTGCTAACATCATTATGCTACAACATAAATCACAACCGTTTAGAGAAGGCGTACTTACCCCGTTAAAACATGAACGTGCAACATAAAATATTGACCTACCATGGACTGTCTGGAATAGAACGTTGAAGTCGTTAAACAATTGATCTTCATAAACAAGTGTAATTTCCCGGGGATCACTGGACATCTGGTTGATATAAGCTGAAGGTAAAACAAAACTTCAGGAGATTTTATAAAAACCCTGTTTGTAAAATATTTATAAATCCGTTTCATTCGTTCTTACAATGTTCTATATATTTACCTGTTTCTTTATAATTCACAGATATTCCGTACTTATATTTAAGGATCCCCGTCCCTCCGCCTAAAAATGTAATGAGGCATTGGGTTTTTTCTCTACGGCATCGCTATTGTATAACCAAATCATTTCTAAACAATAACCCATACCCTGCGGTAGTTTCTTCAGATTTTTTGGGATATTATGAAATTTCGACTTTTTTCCCCATTTGATGTAACAATGGTTTATTAGAAATATAACACATAAAAAATAATAACAATGTCAATATTGATGAATAAAACACAAAAAAACTGAGTAATTTTCTAACAATAATACTAAACCAAACAAAAATGCCCGTTACATGATTCAATAAACTTCCGAGTGCCAATGCAACACGTTTAGGACAACAAAAAGAAAATATAGGTGACAAAAAATAAATGTCTTGCGGACTTACTTATTATACAACAAATTATAAAGATACAAAAAAAAATAAGCAAAAAAGAGAGACAACTCTTACATTTGTACCAATAATAATTCTAAATCCCAAAAAGTCATATATACAATTAATTATTTACAACATACAATATAGCACTTTATATATACGTATATAATACAGTAAGCATTACCAACCAATAAAATTACTTCAAATGTGTTAACCAATGAATAACATTATAACAAACAATGTACTTTACTGTGTCATAGCAAAAATGTCACAATGAACAACAATAACAAACTTCAAAGTTTCACATACTTTACACAACAATAATAAATATCTACATAATGTACAAATAACATACTATATTGTGATATAAAAAAGCACACACAATATACAACAATAATAAACTTTTACACTCGGAACAAAACAATAATAAACTTTCACATATTGTACAGATAACAACATACCATATTGTGTTTGAAAAAATACCACACTATATAGCAATAATAAACCTTGTCATTATAGAGAGATAACAACATATATTGTTGTTTAACAAATATCACACTATTATTCTATTATGGCCCTTTCCGGGGGGAACTGTTCTCTTATAGTGTTGTCTGGGGGAGGTATAGTGGCCGAGCCGTAAGGCAAGGCCACTATACCTCTCCAGACAACACTATAAGAGAATTGTTCCCGAGGGAAAGGGTCATAATAGATTTAGTACATCACATGCCTGTCATTTGACAATAAAAAGTAACATATTTAATAATTAACAACAAATGGTAATAAATGGGCGCAACTCTTAGCGTCACGCTAATTTTCCCGAAGTCTCAGCGGTCCAAAAAAAAGGTATAGTGCCCGTCTCCAGCTGTAGTTCCCGTTGTAAAAGGCGGATGCTAACTATACAAAATAGAACAAGGGTAGTTATCCAATAGCTATCCTAGAAAGTATCATGTGATGTACTAAACAACAATAATACACTTTTACATCATATGCAAATAACAACATACGATATTGTTGTATAAAAATATCACATTGTAAAAATAACACTTTTGTATTTAACATAAAAAATGAACTTGAAATATAGGCCTATTGGGCATATACATGTAATAACAAATATAGAATATAATCTTGACAAGTGTGATGCATAAAATACTTCCCAGGCCAAAATGTCTTTCCTGTTGGGTATTGCACAACCGTAGCCTAGCTAGTACCGCATTCCTTACAACCTTTCTGGTCCAAGTATTCAGATGACATCGCGAGTTCAACCACTCGTCTACCCTTCGACCAGGTTAAAAAGTTATTGGCGTATTCGTGATCACTAGTACCGGAGGAATCCTCGTCGGACGTCGATGTCGGTTAATAAGTAAAATTGTTAGTAAGTTTAGTAGGGGCTTCAGTAGCCAGCGTCTCTTCAATGTGTGAACGAGTGTCACTTTTTTTCGTCGTATAGTCGTGGTCTAGTAGTGGAAATTGGACATCGTTGTTGTTATTATTGTCAGTTAATGCGCTTTTACGTCGGGCTTGCATGTCGGCCATCACTACCACGACGTTGTTTACATCGTTACGACAGCTTTTTTCCTCACACCTTCGCGATTGGAGATTTTCAACGCACAGACTTGTGTCCCACAACTCTGTATTCAAAACGTTATTCAAACGAAATCTATTCAAGGGAAGATAACAACATTGTCGAAATGGTAATCAGGGGCAGGTGACTCTAACACTGAAAAACGACAGTGGAATTCTTTAGTGTTTTACTCTGGCTGGGACGGGGATCTTATAGTCAATTGGACATAATTATGTGTGCAATAATCAGGTATATAATAAATAAGTACACAAAAGTCAGTTGTGCAGTAGTTCAAGTATGCAGAAATATTATCGAGTGCGATCAGTAAACTAGTTTTTGGTAATAATAAAATATAACATCTGGTCTCTTTATTAGCAAAAACATACGTTATAACGTACCTATTACCGTGTCCATGAGCTCCAATGACACGCCTCCGTCAGCAGCTCCAAACTCAGCTATACATATGGAATTCCTGGAATTCCCATTGTCTTGTTTCAACAGATTCCCTTAAACATTGGAATTATGTTATATCTATCAACGAAGAACCAAATAATTAATTATAAAGTCAATTATAAAATGTTTTGTATCTATATCTAAAGTACATTTTACTTTATAGCCGTCATAGATATCATTCTATGGTGTGGTAGGTATAACATTATATGTCCTTCTTACCTACACATTGCAGCAATTGTTTAATGACCGTCCGTACAACTTTTCCACTGTTCTCCATTCCAGACGAGTAACTATCCGCCCCATTGTATACTACTCCCTGAAGTTCGGGGTTTGCTGTCATGACTTCTCCACTCCTCCAAACTACAGAATATGTGTGGTCATTAGTATATACCTGTAGTTGAAATACTGATACCGTATCCACATATCACCTCATACACATATACACACACAGTAGAATGACTGGTCATTGGGCCATAACTGACCGGAATATTAAACGATTTACTTGTGAAAAGTCCGGTGTGTTATACGTATATAACAAGATAACAATATTTGATGTGGATAATTGAATATCAATCAATACCAGTCTTCTGTATGCTAAAAATGTATCATAGACATATTTAAAGCTAGTAGGGTAACTGGTGGTATTTTGTTAAATTGTGATTTACATATATATTTTAGATTATCATGGATTCGAATATAATTTATCATTGTTTTGTTATTACTAATATTCGAGCTGCAGAAATTCATCATTATTACCATCTATTTATACAGAATGATAAAAAATAAGACTACACCTAAATAGATATTTTAGAAGATCGTCATAAGAGTCAAAACCAATGTTTTCTGTAACTTTATCCCATTACATGTTAATATAAAATATGTTGCCATCGCTCCTTATGCTTTATTTCTCATGATACTTGTTGTTTGAATAAACAAGAGAATACCGAAGTGTAAATAAAAACATAATTCTAACTCAAAATCGATACCACTTGTACGAAAGATATCCTTTGAAAAAGACCAAATGCTCCAGAAGGTCACACGTCTTCTGCTTCATCGACGACACCCCCCAACAACATCGACACCCATATTAACCAAAAACATCGACACTCATATTAACCAAAGACATCGACACTCATATCAACCAAAAACATCGACACCCATATTAACCAACAACATCGACACTCATATTAACCAAAGACATCG